TGTTTTGTTAATGAGCCAAGAATGAAGGTCTATTGAGTATCCTAGACAACTGAATTTAAAAAGTAGAAATGTCTGGTAAATGATGTTTATCCAAACATTATGAGACTAAACAGGTCTGGAAAAGATACTGTTCTTAAATAAATTATCTTTTTAGTTTTATCTTCCTGAAAACAAGTATCATTTTAGCTTTTTTTCTCCCAGTCATTATTTGTTATACATGTGGTAGTGGGGATGAACTCAGGGGCACTCTGCCACCAAGCTACGTCCCTAGCCCTTTTTATTTTAAGATAGGGTCTCTATATTATTTAAGGTAGGGCTGGGGTTGTGGCCCAATGCTAGAGCGCTCGCCTAGCACGCAGGAGGCACCAGATTCGATCCTCAGTACCACATAAAACTAAAATAAAGGCATTGTGTTCACCTACAACTAAAATATATATATATATATATATATATATATATATATATATATATATATATTTTAAAAAGATATGGTCTCACTAAGTTGGCTAGATTGGCCTCAAATTTATGATCCTCATGCCTCAGTCTCCAGAGTTGCTGGGATTACAAGTGTGCACTATCTTTCCCAGCACAACTTATTTTTTAAGGTTCCAGTATTAAGTACCTTTCAGGTAGACCCTCAATAATTTTAAGAATATAGAAATCAGTATTCAACCAGAATCCAACAGCTTAAGACAACTTGGCAAGAATTCTTCTCTAACCTAGATTTTTTTCCACATACAATAGAGAGCTCTTCCAGGAAATATCCCCTTTGTAGGGCCCCGGGCCTCTTCACATACTGTCAGGCTAGGCTTATAGAACCAAACAAATGCATTATTCCCAATGAAAAATACAAATAAATACATATTAATTCTAAATTACCAACTTATTACATAAAATTATCCAAAAGAGTGGAAGGAAGTGAATGATCTTTTCATTCATTCTAACTGCTTTCCAAAATAACTTTATTCCTTAATTAAAAGAAAATATTAGATTAATTTGGAATTTGGTTTAAAAATGGTTCTAGCAGGGTGACGGGCTCACTGGACATTTTTAAAATGTCTTCATGTTAACCAAATTTTATATATTATTTTTTCCTTTTCTTTAAGGTCTTTGTTTGAAAGAAAAAAAATGTTTCTTATCTCCTTTTCAGCTTTCCCTCAGAGCATACCATTGCTGACAGAAATTAAATTCTAAAATAAAAATCAAAATAATTTTGCACATTTCTATAAGTCCCACTTCTAAACATATACCAAAGGAAAAAAATTACAATGGCTACTTTAGGGCACCATAAGCCAAAACTTAAGGGAAAACCCAGTAGAAAAACCTTTACTGCTTTCAAAATTCATGCCCACCAAACAGAACAGCAATTTGACATTTTTTCCTTCAAGCAAAAAGACTTCCAAAGTGATAGATTGTTTGTTTTAAGCACTAAGCTAAGGGGTTAGGGATGTGGCTTAGTGGTAGAGAGCTTGCCCAGCATGCATAGGTCCCAGGTTCAATCCTGCAAAACAAGCAAAAAACAAGCAAAAATACTAAATACTATACTGAGAGCCTGATAATGTTATTTGTTTTGGTATTCTGATTCCACAACTTTTATCATTCTCATGTAATCCTCATTCTTGGTATACTTTTAGCTTCTATTCATGTAACTTTGGCTCCTTTGAAACTTAACCCCAAATGACTTTTTAAAAATTCCAAGACAACTATATTCAGAAATAAATTTAAAAGTTTACGAAAGAAACAGTCTATTCACTTTTACAATATTGTATAAAACTATTAAGCATGTTAAACTGATTTGTAAATCACTAATTTATGGTAAAAGTAATGTTTTCCTTCCATTATTGAGTATAAATTCTTCCTGAGCAATAGTTTGAGTACCTAAAAAATACAGACTAGAGTAGTACAGTTCTAAAAAATAGGTCCTCAGGAGAAGCAGCACCTAAAAGAACATTTCTGGGCTGGGGACATAGCTCCTTGAGTGAGGCCCTGGTTTTGATCTCCAGTACTGCAAAATAAACAAATATTTCTGCTGTTCCTATTCCCATTTTATATGAATATAAAACATAACCTACAGTCTTAGTTTAGCTGTAATCATACAACCAAAAACAGGGTTTCATCAAAAGTTTCCCTAAGTAAGCGGTCATAGCACAGATGCTAAATTATTATTATTTAAAAACTATGCCATTTTTTAACCTTAAATCAAAGTTCAGATGGTATTAAATCAGTAGATTGTACAGGGCAAACTTAAAAACAATTTAAAATATTTCACATAAAAGAGAAGATGGGGTTGTGGCTCATTGGTAGAGTGCTCACGTGGCATGTGTGAGGCACTGGGTTGGATCCTCAGCACCACATAAAAATAAATAAAATAAAGGTATTGTGTCCATCTACCACTGGGAAAAAAAAACAGAGAAGAACATACCAATATTTAGTGAGAAATGATTCACCAAAAAATAATTACAAAGCATTTGAAGTCTTCTAATATACCAAATAAATTTAACAGTTTTCTATTTATTCATGTAACAACCATCATGATTTCTGAGACTCTAACCAAATGAAAAACCTAACAGAATTAGAGAGCCAAGATTCAATACTAACCCAAGACTATTCGAGAACATCAAAAAATTTTAAGAGTATGTATATATGAGAGAGAGAGAGAGAGAAGGGGGGAAGAAAATTCTGGATTTAGATTTTAGTTGCACATTTTACTTCACTTTCAAACCTTCATTCAGCATTATATATAAATAGCATTTTTTATATATATATGTATATATATATGTATATGTGTACGTATATATACAGTTTCAAGAAGAAAGAAAATTTTGTTTGCAATGGCGACAATCCTGAGTGAAACGATAGCTTATCTTTGTTATTAGACTAAAGTCAATCACACTAACTGCACTGAAGAAAGAACTTTACAATTTAAAACAGCCAAGTGTGTGGTCAATAAATCTAACTATAGTTCCCCCAATGTGAAGACAAGTAAATAGATATATATTTCAGCAACAGAACATCTAAAAAGAAATGTAAAACTCATTTTCTGGCCATATTTAGCTAGTTGTACTAGTTGACAAGGTGGTTTCATGTCATAAATTTTCATTTGTTTTGTTTGCAGTACTGGGGATTGAACCCAGGCCCTCAGGCAAGTGAGGCAAGAGCTCTATTACTAAGCTGCACTCCCAGCCCCTCAATAAAAGTTTTCTTTTGAGACAGGGTCATGCTATATTGCTGAAGCTGGAGCTTGCAATCCTCCTTCCTCGGCTGACAGAGTAGCTGAGATTACAGGCATGTGCTACTGCAACCAGCTCAGAAGTATTTTCTAAGTTATTGTCCACATGTTTGGGCATATGTTACTATGAAAATCCAAAGGATAAAAAGAGAAAAACCTTTGAAATATCCTCAATTAGTAAAATGTTAGTTTCTCAGGCTTGACAACAGGACAGTTAAGTAAAAATTGCCAGTAGCTCCAAATCATCACATTTCCAGTACACAAAAAACAAAGAGTATGGAAGGATTTAAAAAAAAAAAAAAAAGAGGCAACTAGGCATGGTGGCTTATGCCTGTAATCCCAGTGAATTGGGAGGCTGAGGCAGGAGAATCACAAACTTAAGGGCACCTTGGGGAGTCCCTTTCTCAAAATAAAAACTAAAAAGGACGGAGATGTAGCTCAGTGGTAGAGTGTCCCTGGGTATAATCCTCATTCCTACCCTGCCTCATCTAGTACTGAAAAATAAAGGAAAAGACAGGGCAGTTTTGTAAATACACAAATCAATAAAAAAGGAGAGTTTAATACTCTTCATAGTCTAGACTAACTTGTTTCTAAGAAGATATACAGAAGGCAAAAACTGGAGCAAGAAAAAGAGAAATGGTTGAAATTGGGTATAGAAAATTCCATGTAATAAAACTTGTAAAAAAAAATCCACATTCATAATTTCTGAGTGCCCTTTTGTATCCACTTGACAATTATATTTCCTAACTTGTTCAACAAAGCTTTTTTATGTCACTGGTTTTTCTTTTATTTAAAGTTTTTCTTGTATTGAGATATATCTCAAATTGGCAAAAAAGAAATGTGAAATTCTTGGACTTGTAATACCAGTGACAAATCACCCCTCCTCTCATATTTTGAAAAGTGTAAATTAATGATCGTTTGGATGAAGTGTACTTTCAAAGTTGACATACAAGCATGATCATTTGGTAAGAAACTGTTATGTAATGCCTGTTTTATGTGCCTTAATTTCTTTAGGACCATAAACAGTATTTTTTCCCTTTTCCAAAGGCCACTATTGCCCATGTTGCCATTTTTCCTCAAGGATGTCATTACCCCTCTCCTCAAAGAGCAGTTTTCCTAAATTCCAAATTTCCAGAACTATGACAACTGGTTCTCCAGGATAGAGAATGGAAAGAAGAAGAAAAACTACTGTCAGTAATTTTAAGATCCACCTTCCTGTTACCAGCGGAGATCTAGGCTGATATGACATTTCCAAGCTCCTCGGAAACTACACATACCATGCTACCACAGAGATCAGAAGAGATCTCGGAGATGAACGCAATGCCATTTTGCATCTGAAGTCGCACTGACACCTATTTCAAACTTAATCTCATCCGCTATCGCAGTGTCTTCACCAGCAGCTTACGAGGTAGGTAAGAGAGAAGACCGGTCGGCCAGCTTCCACAGGGCACACAATTCGGTTAAAGGACACGCACACCGTTACACCTTCAACTGGAATAACGAAAGCTACGGCAAACCGCACCAGGTTCTCAGGAAAAAACCACTCTCGGGAAGGAGGAAAAAAATAAAATAAAAGTAACGTCGCTCAGATAATCCCAAACTTAAGCCCTCCTGGCAACGTCGCCAACTCAGTGGTCCCTGGGGAGCTGCGGTGGGGCCGCAAGACCAGCGACGCCCGCACGACGCGCACCTGGGGCGAAAGGAGCGACGACGCTTGGGGACAACAGCGGGGTGACACCCGCACTTACCCGGCCCCACAGCTCTGACTCACCTGCGGAGCCGATTTCCATTCATGGAGCTGGGGGGAGTGCTTGGGGCGAAAACGGCGCCCGCCACAGGGGCGAGGAGTCGGCGAGGGGGCGACGCGGCGCGACAGGCACCTCACTCGGCCCCGAGGCTGGGGACGACGACGGCTTCCCCTCCGCTACCGCACTCAGAAGGCGCTCGGCCGGAAGGGCCGCGGTCGGGAGACAGCCCGGGATCAGGCGAGAGGAAGGAGAGGCGTGAGGCGAGGAGAAGGGAGCCCCGTCCGGAACTTGCGTCGCCGGCGGCCCCAGACGCTCCCGCTGCTCCCCACCACCGCCGCCGCGCTCCCCGGAGCCGCCCCCGGAAGCCCGCCGGCGTCAGTTCCGCTGTCCCGCTCGCCCGGCGTCGGCGCCTCGCCTCCGGGACCCGAACCGTACGGGAGCGACGTCGGTGCGGGCGCGGCCGGCGCGGAGGACGCCGGGGAGGTGTCAGGGAGCCCGCGCCGAGCCGGGTGGGGCCGCGGGCGCGCGCAGCGGTGCCGGCCGGAGACAGCCCCGAGAGGCCGGCCTTCCAGCGCCATCTGGGCGGGGATGCCGCTCACCCACTGCGACATCGCGGCCGTCGGAGCCTACCTGAGAGGCAGCCTACCTGGTGCTGGCTGCCGGGGAGGGGGGGCGCGGGCTGCAGCCGAGGCCGCGAGCCAAGCCTGCCCCGGGTGGGCCGCTTCTCGGGCTGGCGAGTGACCGCAGCGAGCGGTCTCTCCAGTTCCATAGTGTTGCTTTAGCAACACGGGGAAGTAGTGCACAGTATCGGGTGAAAACAGACGATTAGGAAACATGACTTTATACAAACATCAGATGGAATGATTTCCACTTTTCAAACTCTTTAATAGCGGCTCCTTACACTGAAAAAACCAAACTCCTTTCCAGGGTGAAAATGCCTGGCATAAAGGGGTCCCTTGCCTTTCTCCTCCTCGTGACTGGTCGGCTTCCAATTCCTCCAGCGGGCCAAGGGCTTCACTTTGCAGACTCAGAACCTCTGCTTTTGGCTCCCAAGACCAGAAAGCCCCTTCTCCCCACCCTCCCCTTACTCAACACCGAAGTCCAGCCTCTTGTAAGCCATCTCAGAAGAGCCTTTTCTGGACCACTATCCTACGGGGGTGCATCCCTGCTATTATATTTCCTCGGTAACCCTTTCCCCCAAGTCTGTAGCTTGTTCAGTTGACTGACTACTCCATTGTATATCCCCCTACCTAGTACAATGTAAGCTTTGTAAATAAACTAGGTCCAGCACATTGTCAGGCAAATAACAGACCCTTAAAAAATATCTGTTGCCCTAGTGATACCTGATCCTTTGCAGGCTAAGCAAAATGCTTAATGTTTTTTCCTGTGCCCCTAAGTATCAGTACCGTTTAAGCTTTTTAAAAATATATAGATTTATTTTTTTTTAGTAGTAGTTGGACACAATACCTTTATTTTTATGTGGTGCTGAGGATTGAACTCAGGGCCTCGCGCATGCTAGGCGAGCGCTCTACCGCTGAGCCACAACCCAGCCCTGTTTAAGCTTATTTTAAAAAATCAAAATTATTTCTCAAAAAGGAAAAAGAGAAAAAAATCATCCTAATTATGTGCACGCACGCGCGCACACACACACACAGTGAGATTTGGGATTAGTCACTTGATTCTTTGGGCTTCAGTTTTCTCACTTGAAAAACTGAAAGAACAGCATGTCCCTTTCAAAGTCATAAGGTTAGGGAATGTACATAAAGCAGAGAAACCCCTCCTTCAAGGTTAATGAATAACAAAAGAATTCACTATATAGTTACAATCCTAAAGCTCTTAATAGGTTCACCTATCTATAATAAATGCTTAATAATTGGAGGGGACTCTAAACCACATCTGACTTGGATTGTTTCACTTTCTTCTTCCTTCACATCCCTATCCCTGAGACTGAAAATACGCTCCCCAATTATAAAATATCAAATTAAATGTCACCACATGAAACACCACATTTTGAAAGTCATGTTCGGTCCTTGGCTGTACAAAATCCAAATCTTGGTAGCAGAATCTAACAGGGTAAACACCAACTCTTGTGCAAGGGCCTATCACACCCTTAACTCCTGATTCATATAGATCTCTAAATGAATACTGCCTTATTTACCTTCTCCCAGAAAAGACATGGTGGTGAACTCTCAAAGTGGGGTACTTGTCCTTTTTTTGGACATTGATGGGGCAGAATTTTGATTCTGATTCAATTCAATAAATGTCTCTGATGCCTAGGCTACTTCTGCTTTCCAGAATCCCACCTCTTCAGAGTAAGTCCATGTGAAAGGCTCATGAATTATAACATCATGAAGTGGGAAGACAAAAAGGTTTGGATCAGCCTGCCAAAGGCAAAGTTCAACAGTTTCTCCCCCAGCACTATGCCCTGATTTTGGATAAGTCATTCTCAACTGAGTCTGCTCATAAGGGAACAGAGAAAGATCTTTGAGTTTCTTCTTAACTGCCATTGCCTCAGTGCCTAAAACAGTGCCAGTGCCTGGCACACAACAGCATTTAGTAAATATTTGTAGTTGGGTGGATGAGTAAATGAATGGGCTTCAAGGATAGAGCTCAGGAAGCAAGCTAAAATTCTGGTCTTATTCTGATGGTTCTGATGTGTTCTCAGAAGGAAAAACTATAAAATGATACAAAAATCTCAGGTGCAGAGAAGTCAATGCCCTCTGAATGTTGAGTGCCTCTGCAGTCACCCAATGCAAAAATTTCTTACAATATGATACAAAAAGCACAAACCAGAAAACTTTAAAAAGGCAATAAACTGAGCTTTAAATTAATAAACTAGACATGAAAAGTGAAAACTTCAGCTCTTCAAAATGAAAAGGCAAGCCACAGATTGGGAGAAAATATTTGCAAAACATATATCCAACAACAAAAAGTTATCTAGAATACAGCTAAATAAGACAACCCAATTTTTTAAAGGGTAAAAGATGAGAATAATTTTAACGAAGAGATCAGGATAGCAAATAAGCACATGAGAAAATGTGGTCATCAGGGAAAGGCATGAGATATCAGCTACCCAGTGCACTGAGGAGAGAGTGTGCCCAGCTGCCTACTTTAACAAGCGTCAAGGTCCCAAGTCCAGCAAGCCCATCTCCTTCCTTGCTACCACTATTATTTTACTCCACTCAGCATTTTCATACTCCTAGGCTTCCTGTGTTTGATAAGAAATATCACTGTATAAAGATAGCATCCACCAGCATTTTCTGCAAGGCAGAAAGAAAGCAACTTTGTACTTCAGCAAACACACAATAAAACACAGCTTTAAGATAGACAGCTAAGGTTGAAGGCCCTCTTCTACTCAATGTGAATGAACTTTGAGAAAGTCACTCAAGAGATTCAAGTTCCTCATCTATAAAAGGCAGAGTAACATAAAAAGCAGATGCTCCTTGATGCCTAATAACCTTATCCCTTCTTTCTTGCTAGTAGACACGATTAGTCTTCCTAGCCTTCCACATGATTCAAAGGGTAACTCCTGATTACTTTAAGCTACTCATGAAGGATGATCTTATTTGCTTTGCCAATGACAGAATAGGAGTAAGATGATGAGCGATTTCTAGTAAATAAAGACAGGAGACTGATCTGCTAGACATTACTGTGAAAGATTTTTCTTGCTTTGGAAATGCGACACTGGTGACAGTTTGTCCCTCTTCTGGTAGACACTGTTTGGCTAGTAGTTCCTTCTTGGAATTATAGTAGCCATCTTGGGACCACAAGTATGAGGATAAATCGACACAAAAGGTTGCAGAGCAAAAAGACTGCAATCTGGTTATATGGTGTTAATTACTCACTTTGTTAACCAACCTTTGAGGACTTAAATAAGGACTTCCTGTCATGTGAAATGGTTTCCTGATCTGTACCAATTTAATCAGAACTTTGTAATGTGATTAAAGGTAATTGATAAACTATTTGATTGCTAAGAAGATGCAGTTCCATAACAGATACTGTTTAAACAAATACTTCTAAGAAATCAAGACTTTTTTTTTTTTGCAGCTCACTCCCATTAGCAGCTCATAGACATTTTCCAAAAACCTGGTCAGAGACAGACACAGGAGAGCACGCCTGTAATCCCAGCTACTGGGAAGGATGACACAGGAGGTTCACAAGTTCAAGGTCAGTTTGAAATCTCAAAATAAAAAAAAATGAAAAGTGCTGGGAAACATACCTCAGGGTTAAAGCACCCAAATTTGATCCCCATTGCTGGGGAGGGGGGAACTGGTTGGGAACTTCCACCCCCCCCCCCCCCCCCCCCTCTCCCCCCCCTTCTGGTAAGAATCTAACTTTTATTTATTTTTATGTGGTGCTGAGGATGAAACCCAGTGCCTCACACCAGCTAGGCAAACTCCCTACCCCCGTTTTAAGAGGAAATCTCCCTGCCTCTGGAAGATGGGGATGAGAGCCTAAGGGCTTACATCCTAGAAAGGGCTCTCAACATTACTTTGCCCAAAAAGACATTGATAAGAAGATGGTGGTGACACTGTTGTCGAAGACTTGTCTATGAACACTATGTTCCTGCAGGGAAACCACAAAGGCCTAAAAATCCTTGCTATGGTGTCCTGGAAAAAGCAGGTGTGATGCATAAGTGGGGGATTTCTAAATGCGCCTTATTCCCCAGCAACTCCATCTTCCCAGCTCCTTCCTCCACAACCTTGCTGCTTTGAAAGACTTCTTCTGTCATGCTGAGTATACCTTTGAAGACAGCAAGCTTTCCTCAGCATATAGACATGAGCAATAAATGGAAAGCTAGAAGCAAAAAGGTAGAGCTAACTTTCCAATTCAACAATACTTTCTATTTAAAGCAGTAAACACCTTAGCCTGGGGATGGATCAGATTCAGAACTTTAAACATCTCCTTGCACTATAATCCTTTCCTTTAGCCCCCAAGCCCTAACTGCCATGAGATTCTGGGGCCTAAGCCAAGCCAAGAAACATCCAGTAATATCCAGGTTCACTCTGCCCCAAAGCATCTGCTAGACAAGAATGGAGCTGCATAATATCTTGTCAACTAATAGGGCAGAAGTAAGGCTATTCAATCAATGCTGAAAAAGGATGTCCAGGGGTGCAGGGACAAGACTTCACTCAAAACCTTAGGCCCTAGGACCAGACAGTACAGGCCCTGGGCTCCCAGTTTCTTTGAGAAGTAACTAATAGACAAACACGGAAGCCCTTTCAAAATCACTCATTTCTAAAACTGATGTTTACAGCAAACTTTTGTCATAATGTTCATCCTACCCACCCCACCTGGGCTGGGGATCCCACT